ATAAGTAATACCTAAGATAGACAGAAAAGAACAAATAATTTAGTAAACATAAGTTACTTCCCCTTAAAATAAAGAAAACCTGAAACCCAAAAGAACACGATAAACAGCAAAATTATGAAATGTTGCAGGTTCAATTTTATCAAGCCATGCAAATTAATGGTAAAGTATTCATAAAAAAATAGATGGCCATGTGTCAGCAGTAATTGCAGAAAATCGGATAGCTTTCAACATCCGGATACTGGTACACTTTGTAAAAACAACCATTCTGCGCAACAGATAAATGTAATAAGGATAAAATCAATAGGATAATCGTTTACAACAGTTTCATTACCTATCCTTATACTCAATTGCAGGTGAACTTTCTTCTTGTAGGAAAATTTTGAAAATGTATAAATGATACGCCTCAATCTAGACCACAACGATATTCGAAATCCGGGTTTTAGTATTGTCATTAAAACTAAGGGACAAGCTGTTAAACTTAACCCGCAATTTCGTGAAAATAATATCACAATGCACATGCTTTTTACATAAAGTTATTAAATACAAATATAACAACACATTTGTTTACTTGATTTTTACGAATCAAAATAAAACTAATTTACACAACATGAAATTAACTGCTAATAATAACAGCTCCTTCCATAGGCAAAAATAAAAAGCGTTCCATAATAGACGACGCCGCTCACCGGCGTCGCCAATAAGTAATGTACTTGTGTCCTTACTTATGTCCACATAAAAAACTGCAAACTATGTGTCATTAAACTGGGCCATTATTATTCTTTCCTTAGGCTTACAAAAACTTATTATTTAAACATGGGATCAATACAGGATGTTAAAAAGATCTCTAAATAACTGTAATAGTTATCGAAGATCAATCTAGATCTTAAATATTGATATTATAGTACGTTGAAGAAGATTGTTGTAAAAAAATAACATTGATAAAGAAACAGACATTGTCTCCCACAACATTAAGTGCCCAGCTGTCACAGTGTTAAAGTTGACAACTGATTAAGTTCAAGTCTTACAAGTTAACCTTATTATTTAAACAGACATTGTAGTATTTTGTTTGTATTTAAAGACACACAAGTAATGCAAAGGTCATCTGGCAACTGTCCAGCTTTCCTGGTGGACAAATAATTCAGGTGCTCTTCTATTTCAGTCTTTAGCGGAAACTTTGAGTGAAAAAAAATCAAACTTCCATACACAACCTGGATAGCTTCAACATATATGAAAGAATCCGAAGCAGTGTTTTTTTTTCACTTTTGGGGGAAGGGGGTCAGTGCCCATTGGAAGGGGAAAAATGCAACAGGAGGGGGATTTTTATACAGATCTAAAATATTGATGTGTCACATGATAAACTTGTTGGGATACCAGGAGTAGCTCCCCTTACCTATATGAAAAACCTTGCTTAACAGTAAGTCTTACAGGCATAAAATAAAGCATTTTTCGGCAGTTAGTTGCCAAAATATGATATTCATTGCAGGCAGATTTGGGCTGTCATATTATAGGGGGAAATTTCAGCTTTGAGAGGGGAAAAAACATACTATTTTGAGGGGGGAATAGGGAGAATTTCGCCGAATATTTTGGTGAAAAAAACACTGCCGAAGCACAAGTCAGAGGCAAATTTTAACCAGTAGGGCAGGAGGACCTATGAAGTATAATGCTGTCAAATGAATGGCAGCTCAAGGTCAGCATATAAAGGCCATATTTCATTTTAAGTCCCATTATGGCAAAAAAATGCTATAATTTTTATTTCACACAAGTTTTTATTTGTTTGGGTTGTCAGACCAAACAAATAATGGTAGCGAAATTTCAGACCCTGATGCTGTTAATTGCAAACATAATTGAGACATTATGCACCTTTAAAATCAATATGAGAACACCATAAAAGCACCATAAAAGTCATAGAGTCTAGCAGCAATAATGTGGAAATCATTATTGAAGTCATATTTGTACTGCAAGCCACACTTCAGCTTTATTCACATAAATATATACACATATTGCAACAAGAGCCCGGTTTGAGCCGGGTGATGCTCCCAGAATAGGTTTTGGACACAGGAAAGTACACCTCTTGTAGTTTCAGAGTTATGTCCCTGGAAAAAGTTCAAAGTGCAATAATTTCAAAATTAGGAAAGGCAGAGTTACTGTTCTTTCCACTGCACTTCTAATCACTAAGTGTTATCTATCAACTTACAAAGTTTCTTGTTGATATCTCTTATGGTTTCCGAGTTATGTTCCGGACAAATTAAAAAAGTAAAAATAAACAAATGGCAATAACTCCAGAATTAGGCAAGGCAGAGTTATGATTCTCATGCACTGCACATCTACCCATTGAGATACATCTACCTACAAAGTTTCATGTTGATATCTCTTATAGTTTTACAGCTATGTCCAGTACAAGATTTTTCTAAAAGGGGAGATAATTCAAAAATGAGGCTTAACAGAGTTATGTTTTTTTTTGCACTGCACTTCTACTCAATGAGATCTATCTACCTACAATGTTTCATCTTGATATCTCTTATAATTTTAGAGTTATGTTCCGGACAAAGTTCAGTGTTAAAATTAACAAAGGGCAATAACTCCAAAATTAGGACAAAAAGAGTTATTGTTCTTATGCACTGCACATCTACCCATTGAGATCTATTCACCTACAAAGTTTCATGTTGATATCTCTTATAGTTTTAGAGTTATGCCCCGGACAAGATTTTTCTATAAGGGGAGATAATTCAAAAATGAGGCTTAACAGAGTTATGGTTCTTTTGCACTGCACTTCTACTCAATGAGATCTATCTACCTACAATGTTTCATCTTGATATCTCTTATAATTTTAGAGTTATGTTCCGGACAAAGTTCAGTGTTAAAATTAACAAAGGGCAATAACTCCAAAATTAGGACAAAAAGAGTTATTGTTCTTATGCACTGCACATCTACCCATTGAGATCTATTCACCTACAAAGTTTCATGTTGATATCTCTTATAGTTTTAGAGTTATGCCCCGGACAAGATTTTTCTATAAGGGGAGATAATTCAAAAATGAGGCTTAACAGAGTTATGGTTCTTTTGCACTGCACTTCTACTCAATGAGATCTATCTACCTACAATGTTTCATCTTGATATCTCTTATAGTTTTAGAGTTATGTTCCGGACAAAGTTCAAAGTGTTGAAATTAACAAAGGGCAATAACTCCAAAATTAGGACAAAAAGAGTTATTGTTCTTATGCACTGCACATCTACCCATTGAGATCTATTCACCTACAAAGATTCATGTTGATATCTCTTATAGTTTTAGAGTTATGCCCCGGACAAGATTTTTCTATAAGGGGAGATAATTAAAAAACCGGGCAAAATAGAGTTATGGTTCTTTGACACTGCACTCCCCCTCAATGCCCTCTACCACTGTATGAAGTTTAAACAAATAATCTCCAAGGGTTTTTAAGTTATGCTCCGGACAAGAAAACGGACGGACAGACGGACAGACGGACGGACAGACGGACAAGGCGCCGACTATATGCTCCCCCGAAATTTTTCGGGGAGCATAAAAAATTTTCATTGATTCAAATTGTGTACTCAACAGCTGCAACTTCAACTATTTCATTTGAGCCGCGTCACGACAAAACCAACGCAATGCGTTTGCAACCAGCATGGATCCAGACCAGCCTGCGCATCCACGCAGTCTGATCAGGATCCATGCTGTTCGCTTACAAACCCTATTACAAGTAGAGAAACTGATTGCGAACAGCATGGATCCTGATCAGAATGCCCGGATGCGCAGGCTGGTCTGGATCCATGCTGGTCGCAAAAGCATTATGTTGGTTTTGTCGTGACGCGGCTCAAATGCATTTGAAAGCAAAAATAAAATCTGACATTCATTAAAAATGCAAACAAATATTTGATATTTAAACACTGCACTATAAATAATATCTCATGATATTTTAGATGCCGTCAAAGCCAGCTATTAATTTATCCTGGAATGTGTTAGAACAAATTTAGTTTAGTTTGATTGTGTTGGAAGCAGCACTGGCCTACAGGGATGTTGGATGGTGTCAGTTTGTATTTCATAAGGACATCAGACAGTTTAGACATGCCAATTTTGAGAATATATTTTTATTTTGGTATAAAGACTGACATGGAATTATGAGTTTTGTACATTTTCATTTAGTAGCTTGTTGTTTGAGTAATAAAATGTTATAACAGGTGCAAAATGTAAACATTAAAGGGAACTCCAGGGGAGTTTGGTTTTTCACACATAAGCCTTCCCTACCCCACACAAAATTTCTGGATCCCGCCCTGAACTTAATACAATGTATTGTATTATAATTGTACAACATATTTTACAAAGACATTATTTACAATAACCACATTACAAAAAGCAATAAACCTAATTAATTAAAATCCTATGAATGTTTTCACACCCTCCCTCCCCACCCTCCCCCCACCCCACTCATGAATTTACACATAATATGAATTATGTACAGACATTAACGTTTATGTACGAATGTAATTTAGTACTATTAAAGGCACATCAAGCCTCCTAATAAAGGCCAGTTAATGGAGGAAAGAATATTAAGCCTACACATTACATTTTGTACAATAATGAATTACATCAACTAATGAAATCATAACATTGTAACACGCCAGGTATTGCTCATAAGTGTAGATGTATATGTAGATATATATGTACTGAGGTGGAATATGACAGGTGCTCGATTTGTACTACAAATGCATGAATGCAAATTATGCTTCATGTTGCATCACGCTATTTGAAAAGATTATCAAAACTGGCAAAACATCTAATTACAATAACGTAAATTCATACAATATCAAATGCAATTAAATTGCTATCAAAAAACGGTCTAAACAGTCTATCTATTTATCTTGAAATCAAATATGATTGATCACAAAACCCCACAAAACCACATTACGAGGTAAACAACAGTTCAAGGTCAACCATTATCAACTAAAAACATAAACCAGAACAAAAACATGAGAGTGTCACTTACTTTTGGGCCTTTGTTCGTGTAGGTAGTCTGAAAAAGAAACAAAAAACGTGATAATTAAAATTTCTTCAAATGATTACAATACGAAAATACATGGAAACGACTGAGAAAATATTCCACTCACCATTTTGTCTTCTTGAACAACACAAATCTGTTTGTGTATTAGCGTTTCCCATTGGTTAGCTATATTAAGATTGACTAATCAAAATGGTCATTGGCTACACACCTCCACGTGCCATAAATTGAGATGTAAACATCATATAGCGAGAGGCCCTGCTATCATTATATAATATATGTACCATTATTTACAACTTAAGATATTTATAGCGTATATAGAAATATTCGTCCCTCCATCTCTTCATTTAAATCTGCAGAACAGTAAGTAAATTTAATAGCACATTATGGTTTGAATATTAACAATATGAGGAAATTAAAATTTATAAATAAATTAAGCTACATATTTTTTATATTTAATAGGACGAATTCGCAATTTAGAATTAACACATGACAACTTTAAACGGAAGACAAGAAATTTTAACACAACAATTACAGCCCCGGACATTTACATTGTATATAATTTGGTTTTTGAGACTGTTTCTATATTACATATATTAATTAAGGGAGCCAGCTTGTGTGGTGTTGGATAGGACGCGAGCTAGGACGTGAAAGATCCACATTTATAAATGATATATATACAGTATGCTCTATAGAAAAACATAATTCCTTTAATATTTTAGAACGGAATACATTATTACAAGTGTTACGTACAGTAGGTAGCTTTCTGTTACAAAGGAAATGAACATTATGTACAATACATCAACTAAATTTCGACACCTTAAAAATTGTCACGAGAACTCGTGTGAAAAGGGATTGTGGTTTCGTGCCATCAATATACGCTTAAAGAAGCGCAAATTGTAGTTTAGTAGAGGCTTTTCATAGCATCCACAATCGAAGCACGGCTTTAACTACAGGCTGTGGTCGAAACAATCCATTTATCGTTGTCTGAAAATATGTTGAGATCCTACCAAAATGTGCATGTGTCATATCCACTATCAGCATGAACTGAATCTGCGCTCGCTCTCGTTAAGTTGTCTAACACTTATCATTACATGTTGAACGGTCGGATATTTCTGTACACTCATTCTTGGCAAACTATAAAACACTCCTTTTCAAAGCTCATTAATTGTGACCAAGTCCAACAAAAAAAAGACTTGTCAAATTTAAAAAAAAAACATCAAGATAATTTGCGGACGTGCAATGTGTTTTTCAATATAAAGTTGAAAGTAGTCAATTTGATCAAACAGTTTAGGCCAAATGAATTAGACAAATCGATTTGGCGGATAAATCGATCACTATCTTGACGACAATTTTAAATCCTGATGATTACTTAATTAACGTTTTGGAAACCGCTGAGCTGATTCATCTGAGAACGACTGTGGACAGGTTACGTTACAAAGCCGAAGCTGAATAAACAAGTCATGTGTGTACGTTGAGCCTTGTGTACATGGTGTTCACTAAAACTGACCTAGAAGTGCACACCATGTACACATTGTAGTGCATCAGACCAAATGACCAGACATATAGTGACCCTTTATTGTTTTAATGGATTATTGCATAGCAAATGACCAGGGGTAAGAACTGTTGCAAGAATATTTTTTAACTTTCCGGATACAATCATTTATAATTTATAATAGTTTTGAATAATCGGTTTGTACATATTGAGTAATATATTATGATACATATGTATTGCTAAAAAGTTCAGATATTGATTAGAATACACGGGGGAGGAACTGTTACACGAAGGATGATTTTCTCATGATAACTTGTCAGGGGTTCTTGTGATAACTGTAACGGAGTTCATCGGAAAACGTTTGTATATACTACAAAAACACCTGTCAAAAATGATAATTTTCATCTTTAAAGGTCAAATTTAACGAGTTTTAAGTGCTAAATTAAACTTAATGATTAAGCTTGCCTTACATCTTGTATTATGAAATAAAAGATGTCTTATCTTATTTTCATTTTATGGTTCCAATTAATAGGTAATAAACACTGAGCTATTTTAAACACAGTCACTGGACTGGTTTTGGTTTATTCAGTTGTCACACATATACTGGCATGAAAGAAGTCGAAGGCTGGTCTACTTTTCTTTTTTACAAAAAAAAATAAAATAAAATTCATTTCTTCATAAAAATTAAGTATTATGTGTTAGGCACAATATATAATCATATTCTTCAAGTTCCTTGTTTCCTTTTCAGTCTGTAACAGACGAGGAACATATATTTATATAAGCATTTAAAATGAAAGTGCGTGTTCTTTTAGAATTAACCTTGATGCCTGTTATTACCTAAGCCGGTGTCATTGATGTAAGTCAAAATAAAATACTCGTATATTATTCGTAGCCCCCCCCCCCTTTCTACCGCATATTATTTCTTACAACCGTGCTCTTAAATTTATTATGAAACACGACAGACGTATGAATATATAGTGACATTTATTACATGCTTTTCGGTGGTGTATAGAAATATTCTAGTGATATAATAAAACTTGTAATTTCACTGTTTAAACAGTATTATTATCAATTTGATAATTTCACTGTTTAGAACTTAGCCCCTTACGTTGTTTCAGTGAAATACCAGCTAGCATGCACAGTACTGGGAACCAACTTAATGACGTGACGTCGTAAATGACGTCACGATGTTTTACTATTTGGCGCGCTTTTCATTCAGTATTACGTTTAATGTCTTTAAACGTTTCATTGCATATAAGAAAAAGAAAATTTGTTTAGCTTCACCTCATGAACATCAAAAGTTCATTTTAGCTGTACCTATAAGTTACTACTGTCCATCATGGCATGAACAGGATGAGTGCAACATTTTCAATTTTGCCTTAATGCATTCATGTGAACTCTCCCACTTTTAGCGGGAGACTCAGACCACTTTCTGCAGCCATTTTTTCAAAGATTTTTCTTAAAATAAGGGGTATTTTCACAAATTATAGAAATCTCCCCCTTTTTGATGTCAGAGTTAACATCCTTTTTTATTTATTGCAAATTCCAAAAAAGTCCTTCCTAAATAATGATAAAAAATCTCCCACTTGATTATCGAAAAAAGTTCACATGTATGTTAATGACCCTTTTAGGGATTCTATTTCACTCTATTTCATACATGTATAAGCTGTAAGGTAGGACAAATATCTAGATCAAAACCAACACAAATTTAGATCTATATCAATACATATTTCGCTTTAATATTAGCTTCGTCAGTTGATACATTAATGAAAATAAGCTGTAACAAAGTTAATAAACGTTTGACTCCCTTTTTATGCATTAAACCTTAGAAGAAGCTGCACAAGTGTTTCCAGTTTAAAGCACTCTATATCTTTAGTACTATGTAACCTAAAAATTTAGTGATTTCCAACCATTTAAAAACCACCGGAAGTGCAGTCGAAAAAAGTCAAAACAAAAGAATTTTGCAAGAAAAAATAAGAAATGTGTATGAAAGGCAACACTGTTTGAGATCTAATTGTTAGTTTTTGTCAATATTTTTCTTTCTTTAATATAAAATGTATCATTATGATCAATAAACGTTGACATTTGTTTAAAGGAAAATATCATGTATTTTCGCGATGTATAATTTACTTTCATTTTTTTAAGACAAACGTATCCTACTTTTATATGTTATTATATGCTTAAACATTAACTGTCGTGATTGAACTTTAAAGGACATTTCTTTATGTAAATGTGTGCCTTTTAAATAGAAATATAGCACTCAGTGTGTGTGTGTGCATTTTTGTTGTTGTTTTTTTTTCATGTAGATTTGAGGCCACATCATTTGGCCATTTATGAAGCCAAAATATCTTTTTTTGGCAATATCCGGTTAACGCCCCCTGGGGGCATTTGCATTTCCTTCTTTCTTTTACCTCTGTTTGTGCGCAATTGTTATTTTCATCTGTGTCATTAAGACGCTTGCATATTGTGATTAGTCACGTGATGCATATATATAGAAGTTAAAATCTCAAAATATTCAAATGACGCTTAACCCCCTCCCATGAACTAAAATCGCCGCCCATGTAAAATAATACAATTTAGCAAGTTTATTATTATTTAAATAATTGGATAAAAAACCATTATGATCACATAAGGTCATACGCTTGCTGGACCAATAATGTACAAAAGCTAAAATATTTCTGACTTTCGTCCACCACGAAGTTCTACATAATTATATAATGTAATGAGTAAATTGACAAGTATAAATAAGTTGTAGCGGATTTCACGTGGATGAGAAAGCACAGTTTTGTCGTGTTTTTCTTTTTTATTTCGTGGGCAACAAAAGGGATACATTATGTGAACTAATAGTACTTTTTAGGTACTGATTTAAATCTTAATTTTGTAATGGAAGCGTATTTATTTTTTGGCGTTATTTGATGGATTATGTGAAATTCATATAAAATAAACAACGATACGCATACATTTTCGTCCCGGGTAAGTTACCTTTTTGTTTTAAATATGGTTCATTCCATAAGAAAGTATTTTTAGACATTTCCTTCAAAACAATGCCCAGTCACATTTGGTAGAATAATTAACGGAATGAATGTTATTAAAGCTGAAAGTATGGTCAATATCGACATAATATATATTGTCAAAAGGCAAATGCCCCGGGAGAGTTTCCGACTATGTTAAAGTAGCGTAGGCAAACGTCCCGGGAAAGTTGCCTTTTTGTTGTAAATGTTATTCATTCCATAATAAATATATTCAGATACTTCCCCCAAAACAATGCCAAGCCCCATTTTTTAATTTATAAAGGCCCCCGAAGAAAACCCTCTTCCCGGGGAGAACTTCCCTTTCAGTAGCATTTTAATATAGAATGAAATATATCCGTCGCTATATATATACTCTGGTTTTCTGCCCCAGGTGAGATAACCAGAGTATATATATAGCGAGTGATATTTATAAAGCATTACTTACATGCTACTGAAGGGGAAGTTCTCCCCGGGAATAGGGTTTTCTTATAGGGGGCTTCAATGCTTAAGAAAATGGGGCTTGGCAATCTTTTTGGGGAAGTGTCTTAATGGCTTCTTTTTACGGAATGAACATATTTACCGAAGAAGGCAACTCACCCGGGAAAGATTCCTTATATGCAGATGTAATGGTAGGAATAGCACCCGGGTGATTTACCTTCTAGCATATATGTATACGTTCATTCCGTAAAATGTCATTTAGATACTTCCCCCAAAACAATGCCAAGCCCCATTTTTTAATTATAAAGGCCCCCGAAGAAAACCCTCTTCCCGGGGAGAACTTCCCCTTCAGTAGCATTTTAATATAGAATGAAATATATCCGTCGCTATATATATACTCTGGTTTTCTGCCCCGGGTGAGATAACCAGAGTATATATATAGCGACTGATATTTATAAAGCATTACTTACATGCTACTGAAGGGGAAGTTCTCCCCGGGAATAGGGTTTTCTTAGGGGGCTTCAATGCTTAAGAAAATGGGGCTTGGCAATCTTTTTGGGGAAGTGTCTTAATGACTTCTTTTTACGGAATGAACACATTTACCGTAGAAGGCAACTCACCCGGGAAAGATTCCTTATATGCAGATGTAATGGTAGGAATAGCACCCGGGTGATTTACCTTCTAGCATATATGTATACGTTCATTCCGTAAAATGTCATTCAGATACTTCCCCCAAAACAATGCCAAGCCCCATTTTTAAATTATAAAGGCCCCCGAAGAAAACCCTCTTCCCGGGGAGAACTTCCCCTTCAGTAGCATTTTAATATAGAATGAATTATATCCGTCGCTGATATATATACTCTGGTTTTCTGCCCCGGGTGAGATAACTAGAGAGTATATATAAAACAGCTATAATATTTTTGCATATATATTATACAGCATGTCACTGAAGGATAAGATTTCTCATGGAAGAAAATTGGATTTGCAAACTTTTGGGTGAAGAGTGTTAGTGAATTCAATTTACGAAATGAACATATGTTGTGTACAAAGGAAATCATTATAATCATTAACTGGGTAAATTCACAGGTTCTATTTCTCCCGTAGTGAACCCTTTTGAAATCTTGTTTTATGTGTTACTACCATATATGGATATATAGGGTCACAATAATTTCGTGACTCTCGCGATTGCTATTGTGCATAAAGTAAAGAAATGTCAAACAGAAATCGTGAAATTTACGGACGTTAATTACTTCTGGACATTGAATTTTTAAGAATATTGATTATGTTAACATATGATAATGTCTACATGACCCAGATCACACCTAAACGGCAAATGCCCCCAGGGGGCGTTAACCGGATATTGCCCTTTTTTTCACAATTGTTTAACGAAAATTGTCATATTTTAGTCATTGACAAATTGTTCGTTTCCTTAAACGTCAACATAAAACTCTTGAGAGGGGCGTCAGTGGCCAAGTGTTTAAGGTCGTTGACTTCAAACCACTTGACCCCCATCGCTGTTGATTTGAATCCCAACAGGGACTTAAGATTCTTTCATGTGAGCAAGCTATCTTAGGAAATGGCAGTGGTTCTACTCAGGTGCCCGTTCATGCCTGAAATATTGTATGGAAGGTCTTCCTCCATCAGTAAAGCCGGAACGTCGCCATATGACCAATACTGTGTTGATGTGACGTAAAACCCAATCAAACAAAAAAAACAAAAACTCTTTAGACTTTATTTGGGCCCTTCATCAGGTGCAACATGGGAACAACTATAGATGCTTAAAATGATTTTTAGCTCGACTATACAAAGTATATGGAGAGCTGTCCTACTCGCCCCGGCGTCGGCGTCCGCGTCCGCGTCCAGATTTTAGATTAAAGTTTTGGTGCAGTAAAATATTTTTCATTATAACTTTGTCATTTCTTAAGGTATCAACTTCAAACTTCAAATATATGTTCCTTATCATCAACCACATCTTATGTGACAAGGTTCATAACTCTAGCACCAATATTTTCAGATTTATCTCCCCTTGAACTTAGAATTTTCCTTAAAAAATACTATTTTTTACTGTTACTTCATTATTTCTTAAGGGATCAACCTCATACTTCAAATATATGTACCTTATCATCATCCCCATCTTATGTGACAAGGTTCATAACTCTAGCACCAATATTTTCAGATTTATCTCCCCTTGAACTTAGAATTTTCCTCAAAAAATACTATTTCTTACTGTTTCTTCTTAATTCATTAAGGGATCAACCTCATACTTCAAATATATTTACGTTATCATCATCCCCATCTTATGTGACAAGGTTCATAACTCTAGCACCAATATTTTTAGATTTATCTCCCTTTGAACTTAGAATTTTCCATAAAAAATATTATTTTTTACTGTTACTTATTTATTTCTAAAGGGATCAACTTCATACTTCAAATATATTTACGTTATCATCATCCACATCTTATGTGACAAGGTTCATAACTCTAGCACCAATATTGCAAGAATTATCTCCCCATAAACTTAGATTTTTTTACTAGAAAAATGTTATTTTTTATAATATTTTTTTTATTTTTAAAGGTATCTACCTCAAACTTCAAATACTTATTCCTTATCATCAATTACATTTAATGTGACAATGTTCATAACTCTTGAAGCAATATTTACAGATTTATCTCTCTTTGAACTTAGGATTTTCTTTAAGAAATATAATAACTTCTTTACTTTTTAAGGTATCTACTTCAAACATCAAATATATATTTCTTATCATTACACAAATTTTGTGTGACAAGGTCCATAACTCTAGCATGACTATTTCTAGAATTATTTCCCTTGATCTTGGAATTTATTTTAACAAATGTTATTTTTTTACTATAACTAAATACATAATTATACATAATTGATTTAATCTTTCATAAATTTGTCCTCCTTACTGTGTCCAGTATTTTATTAGTCGAGCTTCGCTGTCTCCTGTGACAGCTCTTGTTTTTGAATCTAAGTAACGAAGTCCTTGATGATAATTGATCAACTTTTAATAGGCATACAATGTTCAATAAAAAAATATTAGAAAAAATTAAACTTTTGAAATATTGTCCAGCATTCATAAAATGATTAAAGCTGGATTAAGCCACTTGCATTTGTGATAATTGAAGATTTGAAGATGTGCTGAGATAAAATTTTACTCTGGTATTAACTAAATAAATTCAGTCATATCAAATTGCAAACATCACATGGAAATGAATTTTAATGCATTTCAGAATGTTTTGTCAGTTTATCTGAAGGCATGCTGCTTTAATTCTTTCATAATTCAGTATTGGGAAAAAAAAAGAGAAAAAAAGAAAGGAAGATGAAAAAACAACAACAACAAAAAACAAACAAAAACCAAATAGAATAATGCATGTCTATAGACATCAACATTGATTGAATTTATTGGCATTACATGTAATTTTGCTAATTTCATCCTTGTAATTTTATATTTTCAGATGAGTTATATATGATGTTTAAATAGCCTACAAGTTGACAGACAGACATCATCATGCAATTTGGTAATGTCAGCCTCGGAGTGTCTGCGGGGAACTATATCATACTTGGATTATGGTGGCACATACAGATTACTAAAAAGTACTGGAATTGCAAACACAAGAAATCAGACTTCTCATCCACTGTCTCATTCCAGTGCTGCTCAAGGTAATATAATATATATGTGTATATAAATAGATATATATTGAAACATTATAAATGTTCCTCAATAATTGTTTTTTCTTGAAATAAATAAGATGATATAACAGTCATCAAATTTAGCTCTGGCCCGGTGGCCCATGACCAGTGTAAAGTGAGTTATGGCAAGCGTAAATTTTAAGAAAATTTAGTTAAATATATAGTAGAATAAATTCAAAACTGGAATTCAGGCCAGCAAAATCAAAATCTTAAATACATTGCCTGTAAATAACAAGCTCCATAATTTCAATATTTTTAGTAGCACTTCTAATGTTTTCTTAGCATATCTTCAGTCAAAATTTTAATGGTGAATTTTAAAATTTGAAAATCTGTTAGTCTACCTTTAAATATATATTGGGAGTCTTATTTGAATTATCTGCCCCACATACTGCATCTTTAGAGTGAGAAAATTTATTATAGGCAGCATTGATCGACAAACTACAAGTCTGTTTTGCACTCATTGGAAATATTTTCAAGATGTTGTTTGATTTAATTTATTTTATATACATTTTATACCTTTCCAAATTTTTGTGTGTCACAGAAAATGCTTGAACTTATGTAAATTGTTCAACAAGTTCAGTAGAAAACACTGGAAATTTTTTATTCACCCTTAATAGTTGTCACAGATTATAATTTTCAGTGTAAGGCAACTGTCAAATTGATTATTGTGTCTTTCCATTTTTCACAGGCTGTCCTAGTAATGCGTTTAGGTTTAAGGGCATTATAAGAATAAATAATGCATATAAGTTGATTCTATAATAATAGTAAAATTAATGTGATATTGGCCATGACACTCTATACAACAATGGGAAATAAATGGCCCCTAATCCCATATTTGTTAGTCTGTTCAAAATCATATTGGGATCATGACTTTTATTAAATTCAGTGTTTTAATATAATATTGTTTATGCTCTTTTTGCAGATGTAGGAATATTCCTGTGGAAGGAATATGTAAGATTCTCTCAAGTATCTGTATATGTGTGGTCAGTATATATCAAATCAGAAGTGCTAGCAACACCACAGAGAGGAATGAGGGTATCGGACAGCTCACCGTGTTCAGTTTGTTTTCCTTAGCAACGTTTTGTGATATTATATCAGACTGTTGCCAGCGTGTGATTTTTCCTGGTCTCGACTACCTGATATTAGTGATCTGTTTCAACGTACAGTCAGTAGTGCTGTCGTGTCATTCTGTGTCCGTATATTCGTGGATGTCGGTCGCAGATACTTGTGCAATGTACGCAGCTACGTTCGTTGCTGTGGCTTTACTACTGGAGTTTAAATACCCACATTATATCTGGTTCCCGTTGATGCGTTCATTTTGTACGCTGGTGCTGGGAACCTGGTTTGCTCACATGTGCATTGTCCTGTTTCAAGAAAGCTCACAGTTGAAGAATTCATTAGATGTTCTTAATGTAACTGGAAACACAAGTTCCATTGTAGCTCAGAGTGCAATTTTGACAGAATCTGAATCAAAGATCGAGAATTTATCTTTTGTGCCAATGTATTTTTCTTGGCATATTCTGTTTAATGTGAATCTTTTGACAATTATTTGGGTAGCAGTGTGGAAATTGGCCAATAGAAACTGCTGTGTGTGCATGCCAGATGAAGAACGGGTGAATCAGTTTGAAAATCGTGTACATTTTGATTACCACATGATCACTCGCATGACCGATTCCGATTATGAGGATTAGTTTCTTGGATGTTTGACCTTAAGCGGCCCACTGGCGTAAACTGAATACTTATGTGACCAGTGCAGATTAAAATCAGCTGGCATAAGTGTGCTGTTAAGATCATGGACTGCACTGTTTGCTATTTAGTTTGTAAATATTTTTTTTAATTTTCCCCTTAATATGATGAATGGTTTTATCCAGATTGAAGGATGGACAAGTCCATTTAAGGTATATAGCGTAGTTAGGGTTAAAACACGTACATCAATGTTCTTTAAGATGCAGGCATCCTGATATTAACATATTTTAAAAAAAAAATCTAATCTTTGTAATATGTATATAAAGAGTTTAAGAAATGTATAAATATTTTCACTTTATATGGTGCTTACATTTTATACACAAAATATTGTGTATTTTACTGTTTTGAGCTTGACTAATCGAAGAATAGGGAGAGCTGTAAGCCAAGTGTATTTATCCCTGAATCAGGGTCAGCATCACACTTTGGTTAAACTCTTGTGTGCAAGGTGATTTCTGCAAAAATACTGAAGGGAATACATTGAAACTTCACACACATTTTTGAGAGCTTAATAGGGAGTCACTGTCCAAGGCCCTGGCATAACTTGAGCATGGGTTTTGACAGAATTATGGCCTTTTTAGAATTTAGAAAATTCTACATTATCCAGACTCTTGCTTTACCATCAAGCACTGGGGATAGTTGAGCACACTGTTCTGCTGACAGCTTTTGTTAAAATACTAAATTTCTACCACAAATAATTTAACAAAGAAGACGCCATTTTTGCACATTTTGACAATCTTGTATAATTAAAAAAAATTAAGTGCCTTAAACTGACTTAAATCAGTTTATTTCCAAACATGGCAATACTTTTACAATTAAAAACACTTCTTTATTTCATATATAATGTTTGGTGCTTGACTTTAAAGGCCCATTAAGCCTAAAAATGCTATGATTTTTATTTCTCAAATTATAAAGCATTTTATTCTTTGGGTCCTGTTACAGTTTCCAAAAAGATACTCATTGGCCACATTGCTGAGCCATATTTTATATCTTTTTTATTGTCGCACTTATTACAGTTATAGTGATTTAGTATTTTGTATGGAAGTCAAAATACCACTTTGTTAACATTTTTGCTACCTTTATGACAAATTTTACATTCAGCGTAAGCCGTTATTTTATTCTAGTGATACACAATTCATATGTTCTAAATCAGTGATTACCGGTACATCATTAAAAAAACATATTTTACACTTTTCTAAAGAATGATAAAATATTCAATTCTGAGGCATAATGTGCCTTTAATGACCAATTTCATAATCTGAATATAGATGTGCTTTAAGTTGCTATTATTTATGATACTCATTATTATAGCTCATCTTTGAGCATTTACAATGCTCAATAGAGCATACACAATGCTCAGTAGAGTATTCACAATGCTCAAAGACAAATCATTGTGGTATAATGCATTTTATTTGCTATTGTTATAATCTTAACACATTCAGTTATTTGCTGGTTTGATTCCTTAGTTGTATATATTATACATGTACATTTATATATGTTGAATCTCAAAAATTTGCATATTGTAAAAAAATATTTATAATATGAAATGACCTTGACCATTATTTTTTGGACCCATATCTTCTTCTACAAGAGATTTTTCTTTGGAGAATCAAAATATGACCTTGACCTTTTCATGACCTTGACCATTGTGTCAGATTATTCATACTTCAGGAAATTTTACCATATTATTGTTAGTTATTAACAGATATGAGATTAGGGCATTTGTGTTGAATTAAGTTATTAACACATCTTTTTTAGATATTAAAATAGTTTTGTGGATCATCTACATGTAATGTAATTTTAAAGCTTTTATGTATAGAATTTAAAAAGAAAGTAAGTTCTAAGAAATAGCAGGACACCCATTGTCATAATGATGATAATGTACTTTGGTGTGTCAATATTAATTATGTCTCCCCCACCTCGGGGGGAGACATATTGTTTTTGCCCTGTCCGTCCGTCAGTCCGTCCGCACTACCGAATAGGGATAGGGGGCCATCTAACTGTAAACAGAACAAAAGAGAACAATAGAGTTCATTCCGTAACAATAGAGTAAGGGGCCATTGGCCCTCTATTAAACAATAGAAAATAACAAAAGAAATGGCCCCTTATTCCATTTCGGCCGGACGTCCGTCCGTCAGTCCGTCCGTCCATTCTTCGTTTCCGGACGATAACTAGAGTTCCTTTTGACCTACAGCTCTCAAACTTCATAGGATGAATGGTCTTATTGAGCAGATGATCCCTATTGTTTTTGGGGTCAGTAGTTCAAAGGTCAAGGTCACAGTGACCGTTGGTCAATTTCTCGTTTCCGGATGATAACTAGAGTTCCTTTTGACCTACAGCCCTCAAACTTCATAGGATGATTGGTCTTATAGAGCTGATGATCCCTATTGTTTTTGGGGTCAGTAGGTCAAAGGTCAAGGTCACACTGACCGTTGGTCAATTTCTCGTTTCCGGATGATAACTAGAGTTCCTTTAGACCTACAGACCTCAAACTTCATAGGATGATTGGTCTTATTGAGCAGATGATCCCTATTGTTTTTGGGGTCAGTAGTTCAAAGGTCAAGGTCACAGTGACCGTTGGTCAATTTCTCGTTTCCGGATGATAACTAGAGTTCCTTTTGACCTACAGCCCTCATACTTCATAGGATGATTGGTCTTATAGAGCAGATGATCCCTATTGTTTTTGGGGTCAGTAGGTCAAAGGTCAAGGTCACAGTGACCGTTGGTCAATTTCTCATTTCCGGATGATAACTAGAGTTCCTTTTGACCTACAACCCTCAAACTGGGGGGAGACATATTGTTTTTGCCCTGTCCGTCCGTCAGTCAGTCCGTCCGTCAGTCCGTCCGTCCATTCTTCGTTTCCGGACGATAACTAGAGTTCCTTTTGACCTACAGCTCTCAAACTTCATAGGATGAATGGTCTTATTGAGCAGATGATCCCTATTGTTTTTGGGGTCAGTAGTTCAAAGGTCAAGGTCACAGTGACCGTTGGTCAATTTCTCGTTTCCGGGTCAGTCCGTCAGTCCGTCCGTCCATTCTTCGTTTCCGGACGATAACTAGAGTTCCTTTTGACCTACAGCTCTCAAACTTCATAGGATGAATGGTCTTATTGAGCAGATGATCCCTATTGTTTTTGGGGTCAGTAGTTCAAAGGTCAAGGTCACAGTGACCGTTGGTCAATTTCTCGTTTCCGGATGATAACTAGAGTTCCTTTTGACCTACAGCCCTCAAACTTCATAGGATGATTGGTCTTATAGAGCTGATGATCCCTATTGTTTTTGGGGTCAGTAGGTCAAAGGTCAAGGTCACACTGACCGTTGGTCAATTTCTCGTTTCCGGATGATAACTAGAGTTCCTTTAGACCTACAGACCTCAAACTTCATAGGATGATTGGTCTTATTGAGCAGATGATCCCTATTGTTTTTGGGGTCAGTAGTTCAAAGGTCAAGGTCACAGTGACCGTTGGTCAATTTCTCGTTTCCGGATGATAACTAGAGTTCCTTTTGACCTACAGCCCTCAAAATTCATAGGATGATTGGTCTTATAGTTTAGGAAGCATCTTCTCATACAACCTTAACAATAGAAACCATCCATAGACAGCCTTCATTGAAGTGACTACCGGGTATTTACATTATCTTATCTCCATTTCCATTCCTGTTTCCATTCACAGTTATTCTCAGCAGTGGGGGAGACATGCGCTTTTTTACAAAAGCGTCCTCTAGTTTTGACTTGTATTCTATAAACATTTATTTTTATATAAAAAAATGTGCCAATTTTATCTTGTAATGATTAGTATACATTGTACATGTTATGGTTCATGTATATTGTCGATATATTAACAAATCATGTTTACCTAGCCTTTTAGGTTAATTAATTTATTTTTAGATATTTTAATAACAAGATATATTATTGTATAAAAAGAACATTGTCTAATTAGTGTTTTCTGATTATTATTTTTTAAGAAGAATAAACACTTGTATGTTTTTTACCCTATAAATCTTTAAAGTGTTTTGCCACCCTTTTAGGCACAGTACTGGTCTGTGTAGTAAAAAATTGGAAAATTTGGAATCTTTATTACATGTAAGTAAACTTTGAGAAAAAACAACAAGAACACACTTTAATGTATTTTGATTGCGATTAACAATATTTGAGAATCATTTGGGAAAAGGAAGGCAAGTTTAGATCGATTTCATTAATATAAGAAATAATAAAAAGTAATCAGAAGAAATCATGTTTATCCATGTAAAAGTAATGTACATGTAATTCAATCAATTACTGGAGAAAATTGAAAAAATTGTGATCAAAATTTCAAGAAGTAATTGTAATTTAATCAGTTACAGACAAAAGTAATTTGCCTCCCCCATGTCTCATCACTTTTACAACATACATGTACATCTTTTGTTAATAGACAGGTCCATTGGTGTAATTGTAATGTATTTAAATCAAATATTTGATGGCATTTGAAAATTGCATTTGTGTTCAGTCTTGCGTTAAATATATATATGTATAATTATTAAAATTTTAATTATTTTGTCAGAATGACAACATGCTAAAAAATGTGCTATTTTATCTGATTCATGAAAATATTATGTAATTTGTATACATGTACATAAAAAAATTCGATTTTTATGATTAATGTTTTGATTACATAACTCTTTGAAAACCTCTTAAAAGGTACACAGCTATATCTTATGAAATATTTTTATTAAATCAGTTTCATTTATTATCAACTGTAAAATTATCCTGTTTCCATACTCCTATTGTCAGTTCTCAAAAAAATTTAAATGTAAAATTTTACTATTGTTTATGTAATTTTGAATATGGAAATCAGCTCCAGTTTAAATTTTAAATTGTATTGTTTTATTAAAACGCACAACGTTTCGACTCAAAAGTCTTCATCGGGTATAATTGTTTACAGGAAATAATGTCAACATTTATCACTTAAGAATATTGTATGCTAATGGAATAAAATATTCGGGAACAAAATAATATGTTGCTATTTTAAGTTAGATTTCAACTTATTTAACAATGATTTATTGCATTCGTCATTTGCTTTTATGACAATATACTGCCCTAGTACTTTCATACAAACATTTTTTTAAAATTTGAACAATAAATTTTACAGCAGCTATATAGCTTTATACACTTTAAGATAAACTTGAAAGGTATCGTATCTGTAAAAATCATTTATAAAATGCATGTTTTTCTCTGTTATTTGATTTTACAGGTGCCATTAGTTTTCCACTGTTGATAAATATGAAATAAGTAGACTTGTAGCTAATAAGTGAGTAATAACTTAGTACTGGTATGTTATTTAGATACACTCATTATACCAGTGTTAATACCTATTTCTCCATATTTAAGCCACAGGGACCATGCTTAAACCAATAGGGTATTTTTTTTCTGAATCCTAAATGTCATTAATCAAAATTATAATGTTTATCCTATGTTGCCAAATAAAATTGCGAAAATTATTATTTGACTTGTATACATGTACATACTAATAAAAGCAAAGATTATTATGAGGAGAAATGTGGAAGCTTTATGTATCAAAAACTGTTTGCCTAACTTTGATAATAATGCTTCAATCAAAAAATATTTTTTTTCAAAGCCAAGGATAGTGATAGTAATTTAGCTTTATTGAGAATGCAGGCAGCTGTGTTAAGTCACAAAAAGTTCAATTTAAGTATCAGTATTATAGCATGTATATATTTAAAATGTAGCCTTATGAGATTTATGACTTACAATAAGATGTTTTATTTAGTTGGTTTATTACAATGATATTTATTAACTTATGTGCGTAAAATACTCAAGTAGAGAGGGAGGGGTGTCCTGTGGGCGGAAGTTTCGTAATTCTGTAAATCCTGGCCTTGAGGTTTATAAAACTTTTTTTCTGAGTTCTGTCTCGAATCTTAGGATTTTCATTGGTCAGTGTACATACTGTGGCAGATTCTGGTCAATCAAATTACTGAGATCCGAGTTTGAGCCTAGAGAAATTCTTTATAACTTTGGTCTCTGGTAACTAGAGACATTATAGTGTAACTCAAGAAA